GGGTCCCCTGCCTAGAGAATGGTCCTATCCATACTGGGCAGGTCTTTCCATCTTAGTGTCATCAAGACGATCCTTCATAGACATCCTTAGAGGTTAACTAATCTTAATCTAGATAATCCTTCACAGATGTGCACAGAGGCCTGCCTCTGAGGTATCAAGTTGACCATTAGTACTAGCCCTCACAAACATTAATCCTATCATGGAAGGTTTGTTTTCGTGACCTAATTACTTCCCAAAGTCCTCATCTTGAAATGCCATATACTGTAGACTACAGTTTCAACATGTGAACTTGTACACTGGGAACAACTTGTAGCAGTACTACAAGGCTGAATCCTAGTTTGGTTGTTTATTATGATCATATATGGTGGCTTTTTCTCCACCAATGACATATTACCAAGAGCTTTGGAACTGGGCAAAGACACTTACCAGTCTGGAATTGGGATAACGCGATTACAATAATGTTCTAGTGCACCTCATCTTTGTTAGACTGTTTTCAGATTGCTTTACGTAAATTGGACTTTTTGTTGTCAGTCTCAATTCTGAGATAAGCTGATTGCAAATCTAGGCTGTTGATAAGAGACTATGTACATTGAATTCCTTGTTCATAAGGACTCCCACATCAAATAAAGCCAAAATTTGCCAAGAACTGAACTCTTTGGAACTGAGCTAGACATTTTCTTAGGGCAGAATTTTAATCTAAATATCTCATTGTTACCAGTAACTGTCTTTAATTGGAAGCCAGTCCTTAATTTGAGGTGGTAATTTAGTTCAAAACTGAAAAGGTTTTAGGAAGTTCTTAGTTTATTGTTCACATGCGTTTGTTGTTGTTGTTGTTTTGCTTTGTTTTATTGTGTTGAGAAAGGCCTTAATATACAAATCCATAATCCTGCTTCAGCCTCCCAAGTCCTAGAATTGAATATCCCACTACATCCAGCTTGAAATACTGTTAAAATCAGGTTTAGAAAGTCACTGCCTTTGGTAGCAGTCCATCTTCTTCCTGAATCTTAGTAACTTGGCAGTGGATACTGCCCTTATGAGTTGAAGGGTCAGCAGCTAGAGGGAAGTACTGCTACTCAGAACCACAGTGGATTTAACAAACCACTGAGAAGATGGCTGAGGCTTTGGAAAGCAGCACAGGGCAACAAAAGGAGCGTTGGCTCTGGACTCAGGCCTGGGCACAAATTCAAATTCAACAATATATTAGCAGTTACCTTCTGCAGAAACCATACATACCTCATGGAGCTATTGTGAGGGTTATTCTCAGATCTGGTTATTCCCAGACCATAGCTGACATGCCATAAATAGTAATCATTATCTCTAAGTTAGAGTAGCTCCTTATTCCATCAGAAGGTGGCAGCTAAGTGACATTTCATAAGCCATAAAGTATTTCCACACGAACAGACATTTTTCTATGCTGAATTACCTGCACTTCTTTGTGTACCAATTTATTCAATATTTGGCAGTTGATTTGCTTTCAAAGAAGAAATCCTTAAAAAATGAAAACTGCTTCCCAAGCCAAATGCCACAGCAAGACTCACTGTTCCTCACACAGGGCAGAGACAGGAGGACATTAACATGCCACCTATAGTGCTATGACAATACAGTTCAACAGCCAATGTAGGAGTGAGTTCTTCAAAACAGCTCCTCAAATTATGGATTCTTGGCTTTGTGAATTTTGCTGGAGATATGAAAGTTTACTAATTTCTGCAGAAACTCCTAATAATATATTAGATACACCTAACTTTTAAAAGGCATGGTGGCACATGCCTGTAGTCTCAGCACTCGGGAGGCAGAAGCAGGCAGATCTCTGTGAGTTCAAGGCCAGCCTGGTCTACATAGTGAGTTCCAGGCTAGCCCCTATTACAGGGAGACCCTGTCTCACAAACATGGAAAAAAGAAAATTCAGATAAAGCAGGAAGCTAGAAAAGAAGGAGGATGTTTTTCTTTTTTATTATTTTTATTTTTGATGTGTATGAGTGTATTGTCTGTATGTATGTAAGTGCACCCATGTCATGCAATGTTGCAGAGGACAGAGGAGTCCATCAGATCCCCTGGAACTGGAGTTACAGACAGTTGTTAGCTGCCATGTGGGTGCTGGGATTCAAACCTGGATCTTCTACAAGAACAGCCAGTGTTCTTAACCACCGAGCCATCTCTCCAGCCCCTAGCTAACACGTAACTTTTGATTGAAGAAGAAGCTTATTATTTCACAAACATCCTGCTTAAGCTACAGCCAGCAGGCAATCTTCTCTTCCAACTCTTCCTCAGATGACCTCTTTCCACTGGTCCTAATGCTGCTCTGCAGAGTGAATCTCATGCCTCACTTATATGACTGCCCCTTCGATAACTATTCAAGTTCTTTTAACTACTCCAGAATAAACATTCTGGTCTTTAATTACACAGCTGTGCCCCCTTTGTCAAATATTCCCCTTAATGTTAAAATTATGGTTCAATAAACACATATATGAAAAAAAATCCAGAATTCTAAGGAGAAACTGAATTTTTTTGATAACATCAGACAAATTTTTTTAACACTCAGGGAAGTGAGATATTGAAGGGTCATATTGAAAGGCACAAAGGCCCTAAGTGAAAAACACAACAGTCAATACAACATGACAGTTGAAATAATACATTTGGGGCAACGATGATTCCAATATTTATTTGGTGTTAACAATGTCATATCCAAATTGAACACACACACACACATACACACACACACACACACACACACACACACACACACACACACACTTGTGCCCTTGTGAGGGATCCATCAACCTGAGGATTTGGTCTTTAATTCTGGGACCATATCAGACAAAAGAGGTCTCTCACAAAAGTGTGATTAAGGCTGAGAGCAAAGTTTGAAAGCTGCTTAGGTGCAGGATCAACTGGGAGGGGTAAGAAGGGTGTGCAAAGTTTACAGGAAGAATGGATGGGTGCCATTTCAGTCACAGCCAGTTCATCAGGAAGCATTCTTGAGTGTAGTGTGCTACAGAAAGTGTTCAAGAATCAGCACACCATTTCCGTTTCTGAATTCTTAAAGCTTTGCATTCTCCATCTCTAGTCTAGTGTCTGACATGAAAATATGGCTGTCACCTACTCAGAGAAGATATCTGGATCTCTCAGCCAAATCTAAATAAAATCTTAGCATATGTGACATAAGTTCAGTTGTAAAGAAACCATTTTAGTCTGGAATATATGAAAACCAGCACACTGAACCCAAATCAGTAAAAAAAATAAATAAATAAAAAATAAAAAAGGTGTAGCTATGTTTTCCAATAATGACAAAAAGTTTTTCCATCAACTAATTTACGAATATATAGGAAAAGGGAGAGAGACTCTCAAAATGAGTTTTCTTATAGGTCAAGTTAATATTCCATAATATCTCTTTTTCTTGCCCTATTGACTTTAGCTTTTTTATATAGCAAGTATTTTCTGGGTGGGACTGGGTATCAAGAGTAAATAAATCTCTGTAATTTTCATACCTCTTGAAAAAAATGTATCTTGCCAAGCCTGATGGAGGCCAGAGACTGATTCCTCTCTCACTTTTTACTTCTGCCCTGATAACTGGGCCTGACCCCTGTCTCTCAGGGTGAGGCCTAGAGGTCTCTTAAGATGATTCTAGCATAGGTTGACAGAGCTAGGGAAAGAAAAGAGTAAGCAAAAACACAAGAACTAAACCTGAAGGTGGAACTTTGCATTTGATAATTATTTAGTATGGTATGCCTAAAGTGTGTAGAATATATGCTTTATCTAGGCATAATCAATTTGTATACATTAAAATTAATGCTTATCAGGCAAATCAACATAAGTTATTCACATTCTGTGTCAGAATACACATGCTCAAATTCCATTAGTCATATTAATGACACAATTTACATTTCTGGGTTACTGTATTTGTATGTCAAAGTTAACCTTAGCTGATTTAAGCAGAGTGTAAAACTGATCTTGCAGAGATCTCTCTTTCTCCATTTGGCTGCTGTCTAGGTTTATTTCTTCACTGCACTGAGCCTTCAGAGTCCAGTTTCATGGAAGTCTATAGGCTGCAGGCTTTTTTTTTTTTTTTTTGGGGGTGGGTGTGTGTGTGTGTGTGTGTGTGTGTGTGTGTGTGTGTGTGGTATATACATATGTGTGTAGTTTTGCTTACCTGCAGAGGCCAGAGGGGACCTTGGATGCCTTTTGTTGCGCTCCACTTTATTTCCTTGAGACGGCGTCTCTCTGAATCTGAAGCTCACCCATTTGGCTAGGCTGGCGGACTAGTGAGCTCAGGTAGATCCACTGCTCTCTGTCCCACAAACGCAAGGCTGTCTCAGCGTCCTCATCTGTAATGTGAAGGAGCCAAGGGGCATGAATTTTGCATCGATCATCCATCCGTTGTGGAGCAGGATGAAATAATGGTTCTTCCAGTCTCTTGGGGCTGTTGCTACTGCTGGGAATCTGGCAGGAGTTGCAAGCATCACACGGAATTTGTGGCAAAGAAACTGAATAATAGCCATGTTTTGAGATAGTGGTTCTCCCTTCTTTAAGGAGTAAGAAAATGGCCTTTGGGGATGTTTTGTCTTGAGAAACAAGAGTGGGAAATGTTGAGTTTGAGGTACAAAAGTACAAAACGGATGCATCTTTAAGTGCTCTAAGCACTTTTGCTCTGATACAAACTAGGTCGGGCCGAGTTGCTGATTAGCCCTGCAAGGTGTCTTGCTTGGGGTCAAAGCAAGTTTGACTGATAAGCCTGCGCCTAAGCGAACCCTTAGCCTGGAGGGACGGGCCAGCAGCTGGTCACCTGCGCGAGGGCAGCGCCACGCTGCAGCACCCGGACTAGCCGCACCTCCTCCAACCCGGACAAAGATCAGGTGATGCTGCAGCCCAGGTGGCTCCGGGGAGGTGGGGCGGGAGAGTAAAGCCTAGCCCTCTTAGCTTTCTAAGATCCTGCTTGCCAGAGAGGTTGGCCGCGGGTTGGACTGCGTGCGGGGGTGGGCGGACCAGCCCTTGGGATCCCCGCACTGGGTGGAGGCAGCCCGGCTCCCGAGCCTTGGTGAACTCGCGGTCCTCCGTCAGAGGGCAAGCCTGGGAGCCGCGCGTCTCTCGGCTGCCACCTGCGGGGCACCGCTGGGTGCGGGCCGCGAACCCGCGAGGAGCGCGCGGGCAGCCGGAGGAGGAGCCCCGAACGCGGCCGAAGGACGCCGGGTTCTCCTAACCCCGCCACTAACTTGACCCAGCCGCCGATCTAGAGAAGGCGCCGACGTCCGGGCCCGGCTGCGCGGCTCTCTCTCAGGCCTCGCTCGGCTCTTACGCGCCCCGTCGCCAGCCAGCGCCCCTCCGGGAGCAGTGCCCGCGCGGGAGCGAGGGGGACTGGCCCCGGGCACGATGCCCGCGGAGCGCCGGCGCCTCCACGGCCTCCCCGGAACTGCAGACCTGCGATGGCCGCGCAGCTGCCCCGCCGCTGTGTAGTGTAAGTGAACATCTGGAGGGTGGGTACGGGCTCCTCTTCTGTGACCTTTTGACTTTGCAATGGGAGAACCCCAGGAGTTACAGGAGGCTTTAATTCTGTATATATTTTCAGCCAGTTGTCTTGGATAGTTTCGCATCTTAGGTCTGAGTTAGCTCTACCCTTTTCCATCTTGTTCTGAGCCCTCAAAATAAAGGCATTTCATTATGAGACGTAGGGACCTTCCCACCTGAAGAGTGGATGGAGATTTCCAGGTAAAGAACGTTTTATGCTCATGTCAAGCTGTCAGGCTTGTGCTCTGAGATGCCGCTGAGGAGCAGGGTATTAACACCGATACCCTTGGAAGTAGTGGGAGGCTTAATCATGAGGGGAAATAATGCAAATGAGGAAGAAATGAAAGCGTAGACAGACGGGATCCTTTAGCCTTCAGGAAAGGCTCTGAGGAGAAACAGTCGGAGCTGTTTTCGCTTATGTCTCTAGTCTGACCCCCTCCCGATTCCTTATGGAAGTTAACCTAAGATTATAAACTAGATAGCCACATCATAAACTTCATCTTTTCAAAAGATGTGCTGCTTGTATTTATCATTCGGAAATTTTTAGATAAAAATTCAGGGGAAGAAAGAATCTATTTTTTATTATGGCAAAGCACAAATCAGGATCAGTAGTGAGGTATTCTGGTGTTCTTTTGAATAGGTTGTTTTCTGGTACCTGACATAGCTAGCTAGTATCTGTGGACAAGAAATGTTATTTAGGTACAATAGAATGGTTCTGGGAAAATAGTTACTTCAGTTTTTAACCTCATTTGCTATAAAGTAAAAAAAAAAAAAATTAGTGGCCATTAACAAATAGCAAGAGAGTACTTTAAACCATAGTCCATCCCCTAGTCCATTTCACTACCTCCTGGACCACACTCCACTCCTACAGGAGCAGCCAGGTGTTAATTGGTGGCTGCAGTGACAGGAAGTTCACTGGGTTTCCAAGCACCCCACCACTGCTGTTAGCAAGGCCTTGTTTACACTGAGCTGACAGTCGCTTCCTGGGACTGGTTTCTGCTTAGTTCAATTTTGCCAACAGCTTTCAATTTTTGAAATAATATACAGGAGCTTTTTTTGGTTTTGTGTATTTGCTTTTTTGCAAGCAAATCTAAAACTTAGATCTGGAATCCATGTGCCCCCCACCAACACACATACTAATGGCAAAGAAATTAAAGATCTGAAGTGACACAAGGTACCAGTCAGTTTGTCTGTTTGACAGTCTTTCAGATCCCTGAACCCGAGTTTCCTTACCTATAAAGCAAAATAATAAAACACTCTACTTGCCTCCATGTCTGTTGGGAGCATGAAATTATTCATCTTTGTAAAGTACATATAAGTGCCCAGAAGATGGTAAATGTTCGTTTTCTTTAATAAGTCATCATTTTGTTTTCTTCCTTACTTTCTTTGTGGAATAATCTCCTGAGCCCAAAATTGAGGTCAGCAAGTCAATTTAATCTGAACAGTCAGAATGAGGTCCTATTGTCAAGCAAGTATTCCAAACTTGACTAGAGATATCATACCCCTTATTTTGTTGTCAAGGTAGATGCTATTCATCTTTAAACTGTGCAGCTGAGGATTTGAGTGGGAACTCTTTCTCTTTTGGTATATATTGCTTTAAACTGCTCTCTGATTTCATCTTTGTTAGATATGCATTGACTTTAACTCTGACATTCATTGTGTTAATTCTGCACATTTGTGAGTTTACTCATCAGACATTCAGATGACTGATAAGGTACAGGACAGGTCCTTTGTGCCAAGGGTTGTACATCCAGAAGCATGTGGCAAGGTACAAATGGCTCTTGAGTTTTGATCCTGATTCCTATGAGCTTTGTTACCTTGAGAAACTGCTCTTCCAGATCAGTGAAATGAGGTTAGTGTCATCCACTCTTCAGATTGATTGTTGAAATTCAGTGTATCAAAAAAGCCAAGTATAATACTGGCTGGAAATCTAGTGCCCCCCTCCAATAGATATTGTTCAAATTAATGAACCAGTTGAGCTCAGCATTTACTTCTTCAAACTGTTCTAGTTCATGGATGAGCCTTCTCCAAAGATTCCATGAACAAAAAATTTAATCAAGGGCCTTACTAAAAATAAAGACCCTGAGTACTTCTGATTCATCACAAAAGCAAACCAATGAATGGTTCTTAGTAAACTGCTAATTTGTAAAAGTCTCTGATCTTTTCTTTCTCCCAGAGTGTTACCTGTTTAACTTTTGAATTTTGCTAGAGATTTATGTCACACTAACTTCTTGTCTGTAATGCTTAGGAATTCTAATTATTTCTTTCTGGTTTTAGTATTAGAAAATAAAAACACCAAGGAAGTCTATGGGACTATTAGCCTCTTGAGTCTTCCCTCTCTGAGGGTTTTCTGGAGATTATGGAGACATTCTGTGCTCACAACAGCAGGTTCTCCTGGGAGCTGGATTCTGAGTGACCAGAATGGGAAGGCATGCACATTTCACCTCCTGTGCTTATGCCTCAGTTCTCTATCAGTGAAATTTCCACCATCTCCAGCTTGAAACTCATTTGTTCATAAGGCATCAAAACAGCTGCTGAGCAGTTCTGTTTTCTTTCTCTAATTAATTAATTAATTAGTTTAATTAATTAATTAACTGGGAGCTGGATTCTGAGTGACCAGAATGGGAAGGCATGCACATTTCACCTCCTGTGCTTATGCCTCAGTTCTCTATCAGTGAAATTTCCACCATCTCCAGCTTGAAACTCATTTGTTCATAAGGCATCAAAACAGCTGCTGAGCAGTTCTGTTTTCTTTCTCTAATTAATTAATTAATTAGTTTAATTAATTAATTAATTAATATACCATCTGCTAAATCCAATTTGGGCTTTTTTTTTTTTTTTAAACTTGGAGCCTGTTTTCCATGAAAAAAATCCAATGGAA